GTAATATAAATGAAGACTGTAAGAGTTTCTTTAGGTATATAAAGGGCAAAAGAGAAGCAAATGTGAATATTGGACCACTGGAAAATGATGGTAGATAGATAGTAGTGGGGAACAAAGAAATGGCTGAGGAACTGAATAATTACTTTGCATCAGTCTTCACAGTGGAAGACACGAGTAAAATCCCAAACATTCAAGAGAGTCAGGGGGCAGAGCTGAGTATGGTGACCATCACCAAGGAAAAGGTGCTAGTAAAAGTGATTGGCCTGAAGGTGGACAAATCACCTGGACCAGATGGACGACATGCCAGCGTTCTAAAGGAGGTAGCTGAGGAGATAATGGAAGCGTTAGTGGTGATCTTTCAGGAATCGCTAGAGTCAGGGAGGGTCCCAGAGGACTGGAAAATTGCTAATGTGACACCACTGTTTAAAAAGGGAGTAAGGCAAAAGATGGAAAATTACAGGCCAATTAGCCTAACCTCAGTCGTGGGTAAAGGATGAGATTTCTGAATATTTGGAAATGTATGGTAAAATAGGGCGAAGTCAGCATGGTTTCATCAAGGGAAGGTCATGCCTCCTGACAAATCTGTTAGAATTCTTTGAGGAAGTAACGAGCAGGGTAGACCCAGGAGAGCCAATGGATGTTATCTACCTGGTCTTCAAGAAGGCCTTTAATAAGGTGCCACACAGGAGGCTGCTGAGTAAGATAAGGGCCCATGGTGTTAGAGGCAAGGTGCTAGAATGGATAGAAGATTGGCTGTCTGGCAGAAAGCAGAGAGTGGGGATAAAAGGGTCTTTCTCAGGATGGCAGCCGGTGACAAGTAGTGTTCCACAAGGGTCAGTGTTGGAACCACAACTTTTCACTTTTTACATTAATGATGTCAATGAAGGAACTGTGGGCATTCTGGCTGAGTTTGCAGGCGATACAAAGATAGGTGGAGGGACAGGTAGTACTGAGGAGGTGGCAAGGCTTCAAAAGGATTTGAACAGGTTAGGAGAGTGGGCAAAGAAGTGGCAGATGGAGTACAACGTGGGAAAGTGAGAGATCATGCACTTTGGTAAGAAGAATAAAAGCATAGACTATTTTCTAAATGGGGAGAAAATTCAGAAGTCTGAAGTGCAAAGGGAGTTCTAGTCCAGGATTCTCTCAAGGTAAACTTGCAGGTTGAGTCAGCAGTCAGGAAGGCAAATGCAGTGTTGGCATTTATTTTGAAAGGACTTGAATATAAAAGCAGGGATTACTACTGAGGCTTTGTAAGGCTCTGGTCAGGCCACATTTGGAGTACTGTGTGCAGTTTTGGGCCCCATATCTCAGGAAGGATGTACTGGCCCTGGAGTGGGTCAGAGGAGGTTCACAAGAATGGTCCCAGGAATGGAAAGCTTAACATATGAGGAACGTTTGAGGACTTTGGGACTATACTCATTGGAGTTTAGAAGGATGAGGGGGGATCTAATTGAAACTTACAGAATACTGAATGGCCTGGACAGACTGGATGTTGGGAAGATGCTTTCATTGGTAGGAGAGTCTAGGACCCACGGGCACAGCCTAAGAGCAAAGGGAAGATCTTTTAGAACAGAGATAAGGAGAAACTTCTTCAGCCAGACAGTGGTGAATCTATGGAATTCACTGCCACAGAAGGCTGTGGAGGCCAGGTCATTGAGTACATTTAAGACTGAGACAGATAGGTTCTTGATTATCAAGGGGATCAAGGGTTATGGGGAGAAAGCAGGAGAATGGGGTTGAGGAACTTATCAGCCATGATTGAATGGTGGAGCAGAGTCGATGGGCTGAATGGCCTAGTTTCTGCTCCTATGTCTTATGGTCTTATGGTCCCTGACTCCACGCACATGTTCCCTCCAATATCCCTGATTGGACCTACCTTCACTCTGGCCATCCTCTTGTTCCTCACCTAAGTATAGAATGCTTTGGGGTTTTCCTTAATCCTACCCGCCAAGGCTTTTTCATACCCTCTTCTCGCTCTCCTAAGTCCATTCTTCAGTTCCTTCCTGGCTACCTGTAGCCTCCTAGAGCCCTGTCCGATCCTTGCTTCCTCAACCTTAAGTAAGCTTCCTTCTTCCTTGTGACTAGACGTTCCGCATGTCTTGTCATCCAAGGTTCCTTCACCTTATCATCCCTTCCTTGCCTCAGTGGGACAAACCTCTCCAGCACTCGTAGCATGTGCTCCCTAAACAACCTCCACATTTCTGTCGTGCATTTCCCTGAGAACATTTGTTCCCAATTTATGCTCAGCAGTTCTCGCTGTTGCATTGTAATTCCCCCTCCCCCAATTAAATACTTTCCCATACCATCTGCTCCTATCCCTCTCCATGACTATAGTAAAGGTCAGGGAGTTGTGATCACTGTCACTGAAATGCCCTCCCACCAAGAGATCTGACACCTGGCCTAGTTCGTTGCCAAACACCAAATCCAATATGGCCTCCCCTCTCGTCGCCCTAACTATATATTGAGTCAGAAACCCTTCCTGGACACACCTGACAAAATCTGCTCCATCCAAACTATTTGCGCTTAGGAGGTTTCAGTCGATATTTGGGAAGTTGAAGTCACCCATGTCAACAACCCTATTACTTCTGCACCTTTCCACAATCTGTCTCCCAATCTGTTCCTTAATGTCTCTGTTGACATTGGGGGGACTATAGAAAACTCCCAATGAAATGACTGCTTCTTTTCTGTTTCTGACTTCCACCCATACTGACTCAGTGGACAAACCCTCCACATCCTCCCTTTCTGCAGCTGTGATACCATCCCTGATTAGCAATGCCACTCCCCCACCTCTTTTACCTCCCTCCCTATTTCTTTTGAAACATCTAAACCCCGGAACATCCAACAACCATTCCTGCCCCTGTGTTATCCAAGTCTCCCTCATGGCCACAACATCGTAGCTCCAAGTACTGATCCACGCTCTAAGTTTGTCACACCCATTCCTGACACTTCTTGCATTAAAATAGGCACACTTCAACCCCTCGCACTGACTGCAACTTTGCCCTATCAACTGTGTCCTTCGTCACAGACTCTCTGCATGCTGTATCTACCTGTACACCAGCTACCCCATCCTCTGATCCGTAGCTCTGGTTCCCATCCCCCTGCCAATACTAAAATACTGGTACAGTTATAGAGCATACGTCCATACTCAAAGGAAAGGCAATGGGAAGGTCGGGTATGGTTACTTGAGAAATTTAAGGAAATCTACAGAAATACATCTTGATGTACTATGCTTGCCAGGCATGATGTAGGGGAATTGGAATATCGGTAAAACAACATCCTTATTGGTTAAGTCCAGAAAAATAAGCTCAGGTGGAAACAGAGATTCAATACTGGCTGGAAAACCGATTGAACCCAGATGGAAATACTATACCAGATGGGACAACATAATTCTGCACAGATTACAGAAAAGTAAATGCAATAACTAAGATAATTTTCTAAGATAATTCTATCGAAGAGGTACTGGCAAGTAACATTAACCTCAAGAGCTGAAGAGATATCAGCTTTTGTTACACCAAATGGATTATACCAATGTCGAGTGATGCCATTTGGGTTTTCCAATGCCCAGCTACGTTCCAAAGGTGTGTGAATAATGTTGCAGTTAAAGTGCTAAACTGTGTCTTTTACCATGTAAAACAACTTGACAATTTGCTGGAGCAACTACAGTTAGCTGGCTGAATAATAAATCTCAACAAAAGTGAATTTGCAAGACTGAGGGTTACTTGCCTCCGATATATCATATGGGAGGAGCAAGTGTTATTAAGAACAGTTAAAGTGAAGACTCTGATCAAATTCCTCATTCCTAAAACTAACTAGGAAATCAAAAGATTTTTAGGATTGTGTAGGTTTTATTGGAAATCTATGGGTTTTATCCAAAATTTACATCTAACCTCAGAACAATAACTTGATCTGTTAGGAAAACAGGCAACGGTGGTATGGTCAGCAAAATGCTAAGTAACTTATGAGGTGGTGAAGGAAATCCTAATAAATTAGCCTGTTGGTAGTCCCTGACCTTTCAAAAACCTTTAAAAATGGCAATTGATGCTTCTGAATTAGGGGTAAGTGCAGTCTTATTGCAAAATGATGAATCAGAATTACAGAAGTCAGTGGGGTCCTTTTTTAAGAGTTAAACCCACAACATGAAAAACATTCAGTCATGGGAAAGGAGACTTTGGGATTATTTCTGGCTATTCAACATTTTGAAGGCTGTGTCCCAGTTGCAAAGAAGCATGAAAACACACTAACCATAATCTGATGACTTTCATAGAGACATTTAAGATTCAAAATGCAAGGTTTTCGAATGGATCTTATTGATTCAACCATTCAATGTAAAAACAGCTTAAATTTCTGAAAAAGATAATGTAATAGCTGACATTTTATGACGATTGTGATTGTATTGAAATTATACTGGCTGTCTGAAAGAGTGACTGAGTGATTTCTGGGTGTAGGCAACAGCCTAATGGTACTAGCACTACATTATTAGTCCAAAGACGCAGTTAATGTTCTAGGGACCTGAATTCAAATCCTACCATGGCAGATAGTGGAATTTGAATTCAACCATAATCTGGAAATAAGAGTCTAATGATGACCATGAGAAAAACCAACGTGGTTCACTCCTGTCCTTCAGGGAAGGAAATCCTCCATCCTTACCTGGTCTGGCCGACATTTGACTCCAGACCCACAGCAATGTGGTTGACCATAAGAGCAGAAATTAGGCCATTCGGCCCATCGACTCTGCTCCACCATTCAATCATGGCTGGGAAGTTCCTCAACCCCATTCTCCCGCTTTCTCCCTGTAACCCTTGATCCCCTTGATAATCAAGAACCTATCTACCTCAGTCTTAAATGTACTCAATCTATCTCAGTCTTAACTGACTCTTAACTGCACTCCGGGCAACAAATGCTGGTTCAGTCAGCGATGTCCACATTCCATGAAACAATTTTTAAAAAGTATTTATCATTGTTTCTGGCAGTATTAGTGGCTCTTCCGGCCTGATACTCACCCACTGTTGCTCCTTCCCCGGCCGCAGCAAAGCCGGACGTGACGTCAGGAGGCAGCTCGAGCCAATGAGCGCAGACTCCCGTTGCCAGGTGACGGGGCGGTTTGGATGGCGGGAGCAGTGAGAGGTGGGCGCAGTCCGCCCGGGGCCGCCTCCCCCGGCCGCTGTTAGTGAGAGG